GGGTCAGGTTAGCATCCACTCAACAGCCTAAGGGTTGTGACTCAGTGAAGAAGATATCTACCACCCTCATTTTTAATAGAGGTGTGGTTTGTTGGAGACAGACTGCACAGCCCTTGGTCAGAAGAGGCTGTATTACGAGTTGGGGCCTGTAGGCCTTTTGTTCTTCTTAGTCCCTTGTTACAAAGGAGTGGGGAAATCCGAAACTTGAATGGGTTGTGGTTCTGCTTCCCCACTTTCTGTTGCAGCATGCCTGAAGGGAATTTCATTTTAGCTTTGGGGGTGATCTCATATATGAACAGACATGAAGCTGTTTTCTACTGAATCAGACCATCAGTCCATCTAGGTCAGTATCGTCTACTCAGATTGGAGGCAGCTCTCCAGAATCTCAGGCAGGGGTTGGTTGTTCACATCACCTACTGCCTGGTCCCTCTTAACTGGAGATTCCAGGGATTGAACCTGGGACTTTCTGCAAGCCAAGCAGATGCTGTACCGCTGAGCCGCAGCCCCATATCTCATGTTGCCTTGTGTCTAGGAAGGAGACTGAGCTATGAACTGGAAGTAAAAATCTCATATCACCCAGGAATTCACTGAAGTGGACTTCAGGCAAGGCACTATCACTCAGCCCTTTCTCTCTCCATATATATAGATGTATACATAACAGATGTATAACATTTGAACTTCATAAAAATTGGCCTCCCTTCTAGGGTTCTGCTGAAGTCTGTTGATCCAATCCCTGCCATTTCCTCTACTTTATAGCCCGCCCTTCTCGCTGAGACCCAGAGTGGATTGCAAAATATAAAGCACAGCCTCAAAGATCAAATAAACAATGCAGTAGGATTAGGATTACGAACTGTTTTAAGGCCTGGTTTACTGTTATGCAGGGAGTGGTTTATAAAAAGTGTCCTCTTGAACCACTCCACTATACTGCTGCTGTTAGCGGACATATGAAACATATGACGTTCTTTTAGCATTATTTGTATAGGACTTTTCCTAAATAGTATTGTTAAATTTCTCCCATTATGCAGCAGCCTCTGGTTGTCTAGAACCAAGGTTAGTCCTGATGTGTGACTTTCATAGTGCCTGCTGGATCACCCAGAGGTCCTCTCTAACTCTGGGAAGCTTTGCGAGCAGTTAGTTGTAGTGAATGCGGACACGTGAAGGTGCCCACGCTTTTCAATCTCCATGTCCAGTGTACAAATTTCCAGATCTTGCAGCAGCTGAGCTGAATTGACCACGCCAGTGGTAACCCTACTTTATATTTAAAAGCAGCACTACAACTCAGAATGTCAGAAAATAATTTTGGGAAACTTCCTTTGGTCATGGTCTGTTCTCAGTGAACGGAAAGGTCCTGACATTACTGCTTTGCTTTTCAGACTATAAGTGAAGTCGTTTCTGTCACTTCAGACATCCAGTGACCGCCATCTGTTTTCATTAACATCTCTTGTTTGCGATATATAGTCCCTTTTAGTGGGTTTGTTACCTGTTTGCGTTGCAAATTCAAAGTGAGATCAAAAAGTTGTGAGGGGGGGGGACGCCCCCAAGTGCAGCAATTTTTTTTCTTTTTTAAAGAATCAGCTTCTCACAAATGCACACAATTTTTTTCCTTGATGCTTTGGAACGACACTGGGGATTTAGACCGTTGACTTGTGGTCTTGGCAACAGCTTCACACAAATGTTTTGCCCTCGTAGTTTCTTAGCCATTTAAAATAAATGACAAAATCACACGCAGTCGAAGTAGACTGGAGCACTGGAGCTTCTGCCAAGGATGAAGTACCCCTATTGGATTCACATGTGTAGCTGGCAATTCAACATGCTAGCTGCAGTTTTGAACTGGTGGAGCTCCTGATGGCACTGGTATTTCTGGCCACTGTGTGACACAGAGTGTTGGACTGGATGGGCCTTTGGCCTGATCCAACATTGGCGTCTCTTATGTTCTTATGAACTGGGACACTCACCATGGATAGGGCACATTAGAAAAATAGGTACTGCTTTGAAATACAGGGAGAAGGGTTTTTTGTTTTTATCTTTTGTTGCGCCTGTTTGTGTTCTTGTATTGTCGCAAAGAGTTATTATCGTTCAGAAACTAGTCTTTGCCCAGAGGGTGTTTTTGGGGGCAATATGATGGAAAAACTGATGGTGAATTATAGTATGGAAACCTTGTCTGTGCAGAAAACTTGTCAGAAAAGAAGTACAGTGCTGTGGCCACTGCAATATGGCTCTGTTTCTAAATGATTGGAGCGAAATCTACAATCTCCTCTCCAGTATCCCATACAACCCCCCTACCATGTTTACTTGGCAACATTCTAAGCTGGATCCAGTGAGTTTTCTCTCTCAGTCTCACTCAGCTACCCTTCTTAACCCATGTGGGTTTCATGATCCTCAGCATAGCCTTTTCGAAGGTCAAATAAGACCCTTTGCTTCCTTTTTCACGTGGTTGGATACAACTCTTTGTCAAATGTGTATAACAGTGGTACATGGATGCTGTAGACAACGATCCTAAGCAGATCTACTTAGAATTCTGCTCTGGTCTATTCACTGGGACTGCCAACTTATGGCGGCCCCCCATAGGGTTTTCAAGACAAGAGAGAGGTGGTCTGCCATTGCCTGCCTCTGCAAAGCAACCCTGGACTTCCTTGGTGGTCTCTCATCCAAGTAACTAACCATGGCCAACACTGCTTAAATGCCAAAATCTGATGAGATTGGGTTAGCCAGAGCCACCCAGGTGGAAATTCATTGTTAGGATTGCGCTGTTCAGACCCCTCTTCCCTAAAATCAAAGAGCGAGACGCTTTCTGGGTATCCTGGTATACAAACGGATTTTATTTCATCCTTTGGTTGTTTGGAGCTAAATGTTCATTCGCTTTAACTGTAGTGTTGCTAGACATTTTATCTGTTCATCTCATATACATTTTTTTATTTAATTGTTGCTCTCTTTGAGCCCTCTGAACGAGTTAGAATGGAAATCTCGATAAAATAAACACCCTCGCCCTTGAGACTTGTAAATTTATGACACAAGCTCCTTTTGATTGTTAACTACCCTAATTCAAAGGCTTCAGGTAAACACTGGCTTTAAATAAAGATGTAACGGAAGCTGTAGTGATTGAAAATCAGGATATACAGCAGCCGGGCTGAGTTCCGATTAGCTCTGACTGAAGGTTAACTTCATACGACGTGTGTCTGTGTACACATTTTTATGCTTTTATTTAATTGCTTAAGTCATAGCGCTATGTTCTGACTACTGCCAAGAGAGCAAGAGAGAAAACGCTTCCAACAGAGCAGGAGCAGAGACTAAATACTGTTTTAAATAACAGATGATTTCTAGATGCGTTTAAAGAATGAATAATACAGTTGGAGGAATACAATATCCATTTTTCCCTCCAAATATTTTTTGAGGGGAGGGGGAGGTTGCTCTATTCTTTGTAGGCTCATTATGGGGAAACGGTCTACCTAAAAACGGAGCATGCAAAATGCATATCTGGCTATCGTTCAAGTGGCAAAGGCAGCCACGGCAGCCCGTGAATGCTTTATTCCGGGAGCTTGATTCCTGGCACCTTCCCGAAGCTGCTTGAGCTCACAGTCGCTGCACTTTGCCTTCGCTGATGTGTCGAGCCTGGTTCAGTGGCAGCTCGGCAAGAAGCCGTCTCCAGTTCTCTGTTGGCCAGCTGCATTAGGACAGCCATAAAACAATAATCCCCTCCTGTCGATCAGGTTCCCGAGCGTGTGTCCCAGGCTCTGGCAGTCTCCCCCAGTTTTCCTCCACACAGCCTCTAAAATAATTGCCCCCATTGGTCCTCTCCAGCCCCTTCTTGTTGGATCTTCCAGAAAGCGGCTTGACAAGAAGCTGTACCACTTTGTAGCAGAAGGAAAAGACAGAGAGGAAAGTGCTGGGACTCTCCTTGGTTTATTGTGGCATAATTTTTGTTGGCAAATTATGGCAGCCATAATTATTTGCTGTGTCAGTGGGGCAGGATGAGAGCCCCATCATGGAGCTTTTACGATCATAGATAGTTAAAAAACAAGTCACTGGCTCCTAATACAATCTCTTTCCTTGCATAATTATTTCAGTTTTCAGCATTGAGAGAACAGCAACAGTATGAACTACAGTTCTACAAAACAACCTGTGCTTTAAAAGGCACATTTTGTGCTGCTGAATGATGCTTCCAGAATTGAAACACACATTTCTGAAACAGAAGGCAGGAAGTTTGTCTGGATGTACAATATTCTGCTAAACTCTGTCTGTAACAGGTTTTTTTTAATTAACTATAGAGAAAGATTCCAAAATGTAAACAGTGCATAAGAAGGCATGAGCCAGGTGGCTGCATATTCAGAAGTAGACTGATAAGGAGGTAGGTCTATACAAATGGCTTGAGAGGTACAAGAGGGTATAAGAAATAAAGATAATAATAATAAAAAAGATAATTTATTCTATTATTATTATTATTAATTATTATTATTGATCTATACCCTTCTCCATCCAGAAGGCATGGGTGAGTGTGAAAAGTATCCCACCCAATAAAAAGTCCCCAGGCAAATAGCCAGCATGGTGTAGTGGTTAAGAGAGGTGGACTCTAATCTGGAGAACCAGGTTTGATTTCCCACTTCTCCACATAAAGCTTGCTGTGTGACTTTGTGCAAGTTGTAGTTCTCTCAGAACCTACCCCACAAGGTGCCTGTTGTGGGGGGAGGAAGGGAAGGAGATTGTAAGCAGCTTTGAGATTTGTTAAGGTAGATAAAAGGGGGATATAAAAGCCTACCCTTCTTCTTCTAAATAGTATCATAATGGTAATAGAAACACGATATGGGGTACTAAATAAAATGTTCAAAATTCCCCATCTCCCCCAAAATGTGGCCCATCTCAGTTCTTCTGAAACTTTTAGTCCTGCAGACCTGTGAATTTGTGCGCTGTGAATAAGGCCCGGCAGTTGTACATTGCGCCTGTTTTTCACCTTTCCCTTCAGACCTAGGTACCACTGACAGATTTTTCTATTGTTTTTTCCTCAGGGCCGTCCAGGCCTGCAAAGCTGCCGGCGGCCTCCATAACTGCCTCCTCCCACCCTCACACATCAGTGATCGCACCGCCACCTCTCCGTGCTCTGACCTCAATCCCGCCTTGCCTTAGCCTGCCCTGCTGTGGTGCGCGCGCAGTCTCAGTTGGCGGGTCTCAGACTGAGACTTCAGGCACATATGGATGTCATTGTCAGTTGTCAGGTAATAGAAACATTTTATTGTCACTATCTGAAGGTCAGCTGCCGACCCGGCACTCTCTTTATTGTGGAAGCATCATCGCCATTCAGGAACAACCAAAGCGCCAATAAAAATTCCTTGCCATCTCCAATGAGGGGATCAGTCTCCTCTTCCTGTTCTTTTTTTTGGGGGGGGGGGGGGGCCCTAGGTGGCCGCAGATGATGCCACCAGTTGCTGTTGTTGCTGTTCTATTTTCCTGAAGTAATGTCTGAGAATCCTCGCATATATGTGATATCCTGATATCAAGACTTAATTTCTCTAGGCTGTCTAAGCTTAATTGGATAACATTTAACATCTGAGGCCTTCCTTGCCTAATGATTTATACAGAAGTCTTTCTTTAGATCTCATAGGCTTATGGCATACTTGTGGTCCATACACTTTCCCTCCTCTACTGTAAAAAAATGCTCCCTACTAATTTCTTCCATCTATCTTTGTTTCCTCAGTTCTTTGTATGGGAAACAATGTAAAGAAACCAGTCTCAACTGAGAACACATTATATATGTCAAAAGCCACTGAAAGAATATGCCACTAATGGAATACAGAGTTCAGTCTAAGTTCAACAGGTGACAGAAATACAGTTGAGGTGTACTTACTTCTTCTTGAGGGAAAATTACCACTAGGTCAGGCCCTTAAGTACTTGCTCTGTATGGTCCAAATATTGGCATAAAGTGTAATATCTTTATGAGATGGTTCCATTGAAAATGCAGGGATATAGTACCCTACACATTTCTTCCTGTCGTATAATACTAAAAACTACAATAACCAGAACCTTTCCAGATAATCAGATTTTTATTGCTCTTTTTATTATTTATTTATTTATTTCATTAGATTTCTTGTCGCTCTTCCCCACTTACGTGGGGCTCAGGGCGGTTTACAGCAACATAGTTCAATACAATTTTAAAACCAATTAAAACTACAAGAATTCATTATTAAAACATTCAGCATAAATATTTAAACATTTAAGAACAAGATGGCATATCTAGCATTCAGATTTTTATGAGGGAGGGAGGGGAGGGTGCCAAGCAGATGTAAGGAACCGTTGCTGGCCTCAACCAAAGGTCTGGTGGAACATCTCCACCTTACATGCCCTGCGGACCTTTAATAGATAAGACAGGGCATGGATGTCATTCGGCAGAGAGTTCCACCAGGCAGAGAGTCCCACCTTTTTAAACAAACATACACAATATAAATGAGAACAAAATTACATCCCATTCAGCTACTTTAACCAGGGATGCCACCTGAAGAACTTAAAAATTAGGAACACCTTGTAAGAAAATGATGTATGACATGTATCAGAACATAGATGGTGCTTTATTAGAATATACTGTTCTTGTAACATATTAAATTAAAGTTGCTTTTTGCCAGCAATTGGTGCATCTGTTCTTTTACGTGAATATTTCTATTAATACTAAACAAAGAACCATTCCTTGAAATAAGGAAGAGTCGGCAAGCCTAACGTTAACCTATACATTACCTATACATTTCTTTGAGCAGGGATGAGAAATATATATGAGAGACAAAGAAAACACAAGCTGTTGTGGGGAGAGAGAGAGAGAGAGAGAGAAAAGAAAGAGAGCGGAGGATAAAGAAAAGAGGGAGAAATGAGTGAGAGGTTGGGCAGAAATGGTAGTACATAAGCTTTGGAGCGTAAACTAATTCACAGACTTCTGCCAAATGAAAGTGCAGGTTTCAGGAGTTTCGGTCCTATTATAAGACACTTTGTATGGTGCAATAACTACACAGTTATTACTCAGCCACTGCAGGCGGCCCAGGCATCTTCCCTGGGGGGTTGCACTTCTGTTTTGCTATCCCAGCATCCCAGGAGATATTTTGTTCATAGGGAAAGTCTGTTCTTCCATCAAGCGGTGTGTTCATTACCACAGCACTGTCCTGTGGAGGATGAGTGTATGAGTTTCATGAATATCTACTCGATCTTACGGGGAAAAAATGAAGTGGGAAACTTCCCAACCTCTTGGTTAACTAATACCTACTCGATATCACCTGGCAAAACTGCGCCACACAGCTGTAGCAGGGGAAAGGGAATGTCCCTAGCTTCATAATAGAATGGATTGCAGGTTCAATCCATTCTGGTGATAAGAATCCTGTAGCAGAGCTGGGGAAGGCTTCTATCCGAGACCTTGGAAGCCATGGAATGAAAACGATACTACCATAGATAGAGCCAATGTGATGTAGCAGAGGGTTGGACTAGGATCCTGGCAGGGCTCAAGTCCCCACTTTGACCATGGAAGCTTGCTGGGTGGTCTTGGGCCTGTCACAAACTTTCAGCCTGGCGTACATCAGAGGGTGGTTGTTGTGAGAGAATGGAGGAAGGGCAAAAGATGTTCTGAGCCCAACTGGGGAGAAAAGCAGGATACAAATAAACAAATGCAATGCAAGTGCATGGGTTATGTATATGGTGTGAATGATGAGAAAGGTGACTTTGATGGCAGAGCTGTGGAAAGAGAGATGAAGTGAATCAAGCCTTATTTGGAAAGCCTCTCCCCTCTTGTGAACAAACCAAGCACCCGGCAATTATTTTAGTAATGTTTTCCTTACTGATATTCACATCAAGAGCGTTTATTTGGTGTATTATAGACAGGAATGTCATCCACATGGAACGTGTATCAGGGAAGTGCCACTGTGTTTGCTCACCCCTTCTAAGACAAACATGCGCCACTAATGAAAAGAATAAAATTGAGAAAAGATAAGGAATGAGTAACTCGCTTTAGCACACACTGGAGTAAGGGAGAAGCTTGTATTTTGCATGCTTCTTCCTTCCCAATTTATCGTCATGCACTGTTAGGCCTTTGGACTTATCTATTTGCCGAGCAAACGGTGCCAGTTCTGTGTTGGGGGTTCGACGTGCCATCATGGCTTCCTGTAGCGCTTGCTGCAGTCTACAGCACTTAGAGAACAGGTTATATCAAAGCACATGCTAAGTGTTTATGACAGTAGTTGGTCAAGTTTGGCTTCAAAGAAACGTTTTCTCTCCCTTGGAGAGGAGGCGCTTGATCCCTTGCTATTTCCTTCAGCTCACAGAACAGAAGAAATTAGGTAACATTCCAAGCACAGTATAGTGAAGACGGGTCCTCTGAGCCCATTTTTCTAAGGGAAATCAAAATTAGAAGTAGCTTCTCTTTGAATGGAATATGTTACAGTTTTAATATTGAATGCAGTAAGATTAAGAATCACCCACCAGGGTCTGTGCTAGTACTAGAAATTTTGCAGAAAGAATTTAGTAATTCTCAGACCGAACCTCAACCTGAGTTTTTAAACACTGAGGAATTCTGTTCTTTACTCTTTATACTTCCTATACTGGGTAACTTCCTAGTCTTGTAAACATGCTTAGAATTTTTTAAAGTCACATTTGTTTTTTAGAATTATTTCTTTCTTTGAACTGTTGTAATCATTTCATGTAAATAGACATTATTTTCCAACCACTTTTCGATCTGAAATGCCTTCAGCATTCAGATTTGTACTCCAAATTGAAAGGAATAAAATAACAATTTTTGTGTTATCATTTGTAAAAATTAACTTACCTTTCATGCTCACCTCAAAGTTTGATGCACATACACATGAACACAAGGTCCCAGATTAATTTTTTAATTTTTGTTTGTTTACTTTGTTTCTACCCCAATGGGGAACTAAAGTGCTCTGCAGCATTCTCCCCCTTCTTCATTTTATCCTCACGACAGCCTTGTGAGGAGGATTAAGCTAAGAGAGGGTGTCTATGATAGTTTGGGGATTCAAACCTCCTAGCAGGTGTCCATGATAGAGTGGGGATTCAAATGTGGGTCTCCCAGCATCTAGCTCAACGCTCTAGCCACTAGACCATGCTGTTTCTTAAATATGAAATGACTAAATTACACTATAAGATACAATTTAAAAAATTAAAAGTTTAACCTACATCCCAAACCAGTAAAATCTCAGTGCACCTGGGACATACACAGACTTGGTGAGTTTGTAGTGTTGACGATTTGACCGAAACAGCATGAGTAGTCCAGTTTAAAGACCCTCTAGAGGTAATGCCAAGGTATTTAAATGAATTGCATTGCTTGATTGGATTTCCAAGAATATTCCAAGAGGAGCTTTTTGCCCTGTTCCTAAAAACCATGACCTTGGTCTTATCAAAATTTATAGTGAGAGCTTCTTCTTTACAATAAGTCTCTAACTGATGCAGTAGCCTCTTCAGACCAATTTTCATGAGAGAAATTAAGACCATGTCATCTGCATATAACAAGATTGAAATTTTTTGATGGCCCAATGAGGGGGGAGTGAAGTGGGACCCTGAGAGTTTCCCAACTATGTTATTGGGGTAAAGATTAAGCAGTAAAGTGGCCAGCATGCAACCCTGCTTCACACCCTTCCAGATTGGGATTATAGAGGAGTGAACCCCTTATGGAGAGAGCATTCAGAACTGGCATGGTTTTCACAACTGAAGCCGCTTGAATCTTGAGCAGTTTTGTAGTAGACACTTTGCATTCCTTGTAGCTTGCCCAAGTTTGAATGCTCATATATACAATATGGCTTTGAGGGGTTTTTTTTGGCTATCAAGTCACTCACAGCCGATTTATAGCGACCCTGTAGGGTTTTCAAAGCAAGAGATGTTCAGAGGTGGCTTGCCATTGCCTGGCTCTGTGTCATGACCCTGGACTTCCTTCCTGGTCTCCTATCTAAATACTAGCCAGGGCCGACCTTGCTTAGCTTCCGAGATCTGACAAGAGTGGGCTAGCCTGGGCTATCCAGATTAGGGCACCGAGCTCTATATCTGTATCTATATCTGTCTCCTGTTGCTGTTCCTGTATGGCGTTTTCTGTTTACAGCCCAAAGACCTGATGTATTGTCTGCCATGATAACTTATCATCACAGTCCACAAGCTGAAATGTGGCAACGTACGTGTAGCTGGGCAGTGCAATCCCAAGCAAAGTTACAGCCTTCTATGTCCATTGGAGTCAATGAGTTTC